AAATGTTAAGGAGCTCGGTTTTCGGTCGGCTCAACAGCTTTCAGAAGACCGTGGATGGAAAAAATATTCCCTCAAAACATTCCCAGCATCTGGCGAGGCTGGCTTGTTTTTGAGCAGAAACCCTCCTAGGCGTGCTTACAAAAGTACACCAGCCTCTTCAGACCCACTTTTGTCACCCTGCACCGTTTCTGTTTGCTCAGAGATCGTTTTATTTCGCGCAATTCCATTTTAGTAGCGCACATCCAGCTAATGACGTTCACGACTCTTAACCCTTTCTGTACATAGCTGGAAAATAGTATTAGCAGAGCTCTGCGCTGGAAGCCGAGGAAGGATGCGTATGCTGAGAGCGACTGAATGCCCGTGTGAGCAGATATACTAAGCAGAACTGCAAATAGCTTGCAAATGAACATGACTTCAAATTGAAGTGCAAATGCTTGGGCATACTTTCACCTTCAGACGGGTACTGGAAAAGTAGCGTGGCTACTGCTGGCGCTGGGAAACCAGCTTGCTCACAATCAACGCCCATTTCTCCCCTAAGCTCTTTCTAAATCAAGAAATTAAACTCAAGATAGTGCCAATATTGTGCGACTTGGTGACAGATATTGCTCATAATGCTATTGGTGGCATTCTGTATGCTCTTTCATCGCTGATATTTAATTTAAGCCAGTGCTTCCTCTTGTGCACATTTACTCATGGGGAAGAGGCTATATATTCCTCAAACCAAGGCATCATCATTTTGAAGCGGCGAGAGCCGCAAGCACCTAGGTACTTTGTGCTTGTTACCGTTTCGAAAACAAACAGCTCAAAAAAACCTCCCCTTAACAACCCCAAACCAACAAAACAACCCCTTAAATATTGCATACATTCGCACGGCCTTTTCTTTTCCTTTAAAGGTACTCGCTACACCACCAAGGAAGTTTCGGCAGTGGAAGTAAATAGCTGGCTTCATACCAAGAGTTTAACGTATGTAAAAAGGAGGCTCAGTCTAATCTGTCTGCTTTACCAAATTATATCTGTTTGAGGCGAGGGACAATTCCTCGCCATACCACAAACCCTGCTTCTAGAAAAAACCGTAATAGAAATTATAAAATCGCAGAAGAAAATGCTAAAGTCAAATGACAAAAAGTTAAAAAAAAAAAGAGTAAAGGAAAAGAAAAAAAATTAAAAATAAAAAAGAAAATGAAGAAAACAGCCTAGCAATAAATCATCAAATAAACAGGAATTTCAGTCCCTTCCTCATAACGGCCCGAGAGTAGGAAGTGTTTTCCCAGCGCTGCTGTCCGTGCCCCCGGCGGGCTGTGCTGCGGGCTCGCCACTAACTCTCTGCGTTTCCTCCAGATCCCGACACAGCCACCGGCCCTCGCCCGGGGAAGCAGGCGTGGGCAGAAGACCATGGGTAATCCACTTTTCAGTACTAACGGGGCATCGTTTCGCTCGGGCAAGATAAACCAGGCCGGGAGGGAAGGCTGGGGAGGGAAGGCATGGAAAAGAAAGCGAAGTGGGCAAAAAAAAAATCTCACTTAGGCATTGAACGTGGCTCCCCCTGAACTAGGGGCGGAGGAGACAGCTCTGCCGGCGAGCTGGGGTCAGCGACAGCCCCGCGCCTCCGCGGGCCGGAGCCTGTCCGCCTGCGCGGCCCCTGCCCGCGGCCGCGCTGGCAGCGCGGGGCCGGGCGGCCTCCTCCGCGTCCTCTCTGCCCTCCCGGGCCGCGCCGGGCACCTTAAAGGGGGGCTGCGTTAAGGCTGTGTAGCCCCAAATTTCCGCAGATAGAGGAGCATGTGTTCAGCCACACGTCAGTTGTGCTCGGAGACACAGGCTTTGCTGTTTCCATCCGTCCATTTTATTAGGGACACATTAATCTATAATCAAATACACCTCATAAAATTTTTATTGAAAGGCATAAAATCATTACAGAGGTCTTCCACCTGTTTTAAAACAACACAATGGGCATCTCTTTTTAAAAGTGTATCCTTTCCATGGAAACTTTCTGTCCGAGGGTGGGGGGAGAGGATAATAATACCCGCACATGCTCTGAAATATGGAAGTACCGCAATGTGCTTTTACTGTAACATTTTCCTGTTTTATGAGAAGTCGTTACAGTCCCAGCTTGCGATGGTTTGTTTTTACAGGCAAGAATCCCCCTTTCCCAGCGGGTTCCCTCAGCAGCTTGGAGTGTGATTAGCAAGCCAAGGCTGTTGGATTTATTTAAACACCCTGCCTCTCATTGATTAAGAAATGAATGGCAGAAATCGCTCAACGAAGGTGAAGAAATAGTCCGCACCCGCCGCGGCCGTGGGCAGCCGGAGCGGCCACGCCCGCCGCGCCCCGGGCAGGCAGGGCAGGCGGGCAAGCAGGGCAGGCAGGGCAGGCAGGAGGGCAAGCGGGGAGGGCAGGGCAGGCAGGAGGGCAAGCGGGGAGGGCAGGGCAGGCAGGAGGGCAAGCGGGGAGGGCAGGGCAGGCCGGGCAGCGCAGGACGGGCAGGACAGGCCGGGCAGCGCAGGCGGGCAGCCGGGCAGCGCAGGCGGGCAGCCGGGCACGCAGGGCGGGCAGGGCAGGCGGGCGGGTGGCCCCAGCGCGGTGCGGGGGCGCAGGCGGTGCTGCGCGGCGTGCGGGGCCCTTGTTGATGATGATTTTTTTTTTTTTTAATCACAGCAGCCCCAGTTTAGCGGATTGATTTACTCGCAGTATTGGTAAATATGATCACGTGGGCTCCACAACCAATGGTTGAGGGTTGCAGTCTGCAAAATACTACGATTGTTCTCCGGGAGGGTATCATATACAGTTAACAGTGTAACCTTTTATATGACTAAGAGGGGAGCCTAAAATGTCGTCTAGTGGCACCATAAGTAACTATTATGTCGATTCTCTCATAGGCCATGAAAGCGAAGAAGTTTATGGGAGTAGATTCGTCCAGGGAGGTCACAGTGCGACCTCCAGGCCATCAGGTGTTGCAGAGAGTTCAGATTTTTCCTCTTGTAGCTTTGCACCAAAATCCACCGTGTTCTCCACCTCCTGGTCCACTGTTCACCATCAGCCGTCTGCGGCAATGACCGGGATCTACCACCCCTACATGCACCAGCCCCACTTAGGGGCAGCCGACGCTGGCCGCTACGTGCGCTCCTGGATCGAGCCCTTCCCGGGCTTCCCGGGCGGCGGCGGCGGCGGCGGCGGCGGCGGCAGCGGAGGCAGCAGCAGCGGCGGCTCCGCGTCCAGCTCCGGCTCCTCCAACGGGCGCCACTACGGGATAAAGCCGGAGACGGGAGCAGCCACATCCTCGTCTTCCTCCTCCTCTTCCTCCTCCTCCAAAAGGACTGAATGCTCCTCGTCTCGGGAGTCCCAGGGGATCGGTGTGCCCGAGTACACGTGCGGCTCCTTCCTCCAGGAGTCCCGGGAGAAAGCGCCTGCCGGCAGCTCCAAGGACCCCGCCGCCTGCAGCCACAACCCCAGCCCGAGCAGCGATCTGAAAGAGGAGAAGCAGCAGCAACTTGACCCAAGTAAAAAAAAAAAAAAAAAAAAAGGAAGAAATAAACACAAGAAAAAGAAAATACAAAAGACAATCAAAACAAAATGGGCAGTGGGGGAGATAGAGAGGAATAGCGGCAGAGAGAGAGAGGGAGAAAGAAAGAAAGAAAGAGAGGAGGAGAGAAGGAAGGAAGGAAAGTAAGAAAGAAAGCAAGGAATGAAGGAAGGAAGGAAGGAAGAAAGAAAGCGAGAGAGAGAGAAAGAAAGAAATTGCCCCTTTGATTTATTGCCGAAACCTGTAAGGCTCGAATGTGCAAAACTGATAGTTTTACTAACCTATAAAAACGTCTAGACGCCTACCCCAGCGCAAGCAGCAACAAGCACCCATAAAAGACTCCACATAACCACCTACCATCAAGACATCATTTGTACAGTAAACAGACTGGGGCATTAAGGCTTTTATGATAATTCCTCCAAAGTTGTGAAAACAGTCCATCCTTCGTTAAATTAATTTAACGACCTTTCTCTCCCCCCCACCCCCCCCATCCCCGTTCCCTATATACCTCCCTTCTTCCAGATAACCCTGCAGCAAACTGGATCCACGCTCGTTCAACGAGGAAAAAGCGTTGTCCCTACACAAAGTATCAAACTCTGGAACTGGAAAAGGAATTTCTGTTTAACATGTACCTCACCCGAGACCGCCGTTACGAAGTAGCTAGGATTTTAAACCTCACAGAGAGACAGGTCAAAATCTGGTTTCAGAACAGAAGAATGAAAATGAAAAAGATGAACAAGGAGAAAGGCAATAAAGGAGACTAACGCTGGGGTGGAAACGTAGTCGGGGACTATTGATTTAGTTTTGAGTTTGGACTTTTATCGAGGGAGTGTGGG